AACAGCTATTCTATGTATCCCAGGGGCTTTCACATTGAATTTTATTCCAAGCCTATGCTGCAAGCCTGCAACAAGCCTGCTGGATAAAGCAGTTGTTGGGTACAGACTGCTGTATAACTCACAGGTTTTCCTCCACCTGCACAGCACCTGGTTGTGAGCCATTAGGAGGGAGCAATAAAAGCTGAGCTTGAGCACAAGATTCATTCTTCTGACCAACGACAATCAGGTACTTATACAGGAACTCATTTTCAGGTAAAAACCCACCATACTTCTGCAAGTACTAACAAACAAAACCCACAAATAATTTAATCCAACTACTTGGTACCTCTTATATTTTGCAATGGGAAGTATTAAAATATCTATTACTTTAATTGACTGTGTATGATTTATGTCTGGATGGAGCACATGCTAGTCCAGAGCACAGAAGGAGATCAAGAGGTTGTCCAGAGAGTGGCTTCTTCACTGGATTGCTATTGATAGCTCAGGACACGTCTTTTCAGTTCTAAGTAACTGTGTATTGCTGAATCTGGTGTATTTCCCTCTTCTCATATTGCAAACACAGCGAAATTTTATGGAAGTAACTGAACAATACTGAGAATGAAATTGCTCATTCTCCTTCTCCTTTGTTAAAAACACCTTAGAAACTTATAGGAGAAACTTACAAGGAGAAATAAAAAGCCATTAAACATACAAAAGAATACATATTTTATGCATATTTCACATATTTGGTGACAGATTAGGGCAAGGGAAGTTGCAAATTTTTTCATTGAAAATACAGGTTGGACTTCATTCTCTCTCACTACTCTGAACGTGCTGCTAATGTCTCTGATTTCTCTAAAGGACTGATGGTTTCTCTCAGTAAATACTTCAAGCCAAGGCCGGAGCAGCGTTAACAGCCTGTGAGGCACCGCGCCCAAGGGATGGCACAAAGGGCCCCCGACTCACCTATGAGCTCCCCGGTCATGAAGAGGAGGTAGAGGATGGCAGCGAGCGCCAGCCGCTTCTTCACCTTCCTCTGCTTGGAGCGCTCCCGCCGGCTGCTGCAGCCGCTGCAGGGGTCCGGCCGGCCGGCCCGGGCGCTGCGCAGGGCGATGTCCCGCTCCAGCAGGGACTCGTCGTCGGACGGCAGCCCCGGCGGTGCCCCGTTCACCGGCGTCTCCGGGGCCGCCTCCGACCCGTCATCCGCCACCACCACGCGCAGCTTGTTAAACCTGGGGAAGTCCTCATCGCCCACCTCGTCCGAGAAGTCAAAGGCACTGGAGTCGTTCAGGAACAGCGGGTCCTCACCCCTCCGCAGCAGGGACTTGATGCTCGCCCAGAGCCCGGCCCCGGCCATCGCGGCGGTGCCCGGGGGGGCCCTCGCCCGTGCGCGGCCGACCCGCCGCGGGCGGCTCCGCTGGCGCAGCTGTGCCCTGGCAGGCGGCGCCCGACCGCTCCTCGTCCCGTCAGGGCATGTCCCCTACATCGGCCCGCGGGGCCCTGCGCAGGCCGCCCGGAACGCGGCGCGGGGCTCCGGCACGCCCGGCGCACACCGGC